AGACCCCAGAAATTGACCCATGCCATTATAATCAATTAATATTTGACAAAGGAGGTAAGAATATACAATGAGTTCAGCTGGTGTGGCTCAGTGATCGAGTGTCGACCTATGAACCAGGAGGCTACCGGTTCAATTCCTGGTCAGGGCACATGACCAGATTGCATGCTCAATGATTCTCTCTCAATGAAGTCTCTTCAATAAAAGGTGTTGGGAAAATTGGACAGGTAAATGCAAAAAGAAATGAAATTAGACCATCAACTTACACCATAAACTCAAAATGGATAAGAGCCTTAAATGTAAGTCTCAGAACTATAAAAATTCTAGAAGAAAACATAGGCAGTAAAATTTCAGACATCTCATGTAGCAGTATTTTCACCAGTACATCTCCTAGGGCAAGGAGAATAAAGAAAAAAATAAACAAATGGGACTACATCAAACTGAAAAATCTTCTGCACAACAAAATGAAAAGGGAACCTATGGTTTGGGAGAGCATATTTGCCAATGATACATCTTGATAAGGGGTCAATTTCCAATATATATAAAGAACTCATAAAACTCAACAAAAGGAAGACATACAATCCAATTAAAAAATGAGCAAAGGACCTGAATAAACACTTCTCCAAAGTGGTCATACAGATGGCCAAGAGAAAAAATGCTCAACGTACTAATCATCAGAAAGATGCAAATTAAAACTACAATGAGGTATCACCTCACACCTGCCAGAATGGCTACCATCAACAAATCAACGAATGATAAGTATTGGTGAGGATGTGGAGAAAAGGAAACCCTAATACACCGCTGGTGGGAATGCAGACTGGTGCGGCCACTGTGGAATAATATGGAGTTTCCTAAGAGAATTAAAAATGATACTGCCTTTTGACCCAGCGATCCCACTTCTGGGAATATATCCTAAGAAACCCAAAGCACCAATCAGAAAGGATATATGTACCCCTATGTTCATAGCAGTGGTATTTACAAAAGCTAAGATCTGGAAACAGCCCAAGTGCCCATCAGTACATGAGCGGATAAAAAAACTGTGGTACATTTACACAATGGAATACTATGAGGCTGTAAAACAGAAGGATCTCTTACCCTTTGCAACAGTATCGATGGACATGGAAATTATTATGCTAAATGAAATAAGCCAGTCAAAGAAAGACAAATATCACATGACCTCACTTATATGTAGAATCTAATGAACAAAAGAAACTGACAAACAAAACAGAAGGAAGCAGGGCAGGGGTGCAGTGTGGGGAAGAGGTTAACTAAAGAATTTATATACATATATGCACAGCCCATGGACGCACAAAATAATGCAGTGAAGGCTGGGATGGGGTGGGGACTGGCTGGAGGTTGGCAAAGGGAAGAAAATGGGGGGCATCTGTAATACTGTTAACAATAAGATAAAATTTAGAAAATAAATAAAATTAGAACTGCTAACTATTTTTTAAAAAAATATATTTTATTGATTTTTTACAGAGAGGAAGGGAGAGGGATAGAGAGCCAGAAACACCGATGAGAGAGAAACATCGATCAGCTGCCGCACACTCCCCACTGGGTATATGCCCGCAACCAAGGTACATGCCCTTGACTGGAATCGAACCTGGGACCCTTGAGTCCGCAGGCCGACGCTCTATCCACTGAGCCAAACTGGCCAGGGCGAACTGCTAACTATTGATAGACCAATGACAGGTTGTTGGAATTGCAATTTCTTTAAAACTTTTAATGGCAAATAGCTCTTACTACTTCTAGGCTCATCATACCTCTTTCTGCATGATGAGAAGGAAGCTTTGAAATCCTGGTACTTAACTTTCTCTTCTCTTATAAAGAAACTAGAGGCCGGGTGCACTTGGGGGGGGTCCCTCAGCCTGGCCTGCACCCTCCTGCAGTCCAGGAGCCCTCAGCCCTCGGGGGATGTCCACCTGCTGGCTTATGCCCACTCCCTTGGAATTGGGCCTAAGCTGACAGTCAGACATCCCTCTGGCAGCCTGGGAGCCCTCGGAGGATGTCCACCTGCCAGCTTAGGCCCACTCCTGTTGGGGGAGGGAGGCCTAAGCCTCCAGTCGGATATCCTTAGCACTGCCAAGGAGGTGGGAGAGGCTCCCTCCACCACTGCTGCACTTGCAGCCATTAGCCTGGCTTGTGGCTGAGCGGGGCTCCCCCTGTGGGAGTGCACTGACCATCAGGGGGCAGCTCCTGCGTTGAGTGTCTGCTCCCTGGTGGTCAGTGCACATCATAGCGACTGGTCGTTCCTTTAGGGTCAATTTGCATATTAGCCTTTTATTATATAGGATTCTATGAGGCAGACACAGAGAACTGATTGCTGGTTGTCAGAGGCAGGGGTAGGAGGTGAGCAAAATGGGTGAAGGGGTCAAAAGGTACATATTTTCAGACAATTAAAACCACAATGAGATATCACCTCACACCTGTGAGAGTGATTATTATCAGTAAATTAACAAACAGCAAGTGTTGGCAAGGATGTGGAGAAAAGAGAACCTTTAAGCATCGTTAGTGGGAATGCAGATTGTTGTAGCTGCTATGGAAAACAGTATGGAGGTTCCTCAAAAAATTAAAAATAGAACTACGATATGACCCAGCAATTCTTCTTCTGGGTATTTATCTGAAGAAACAGAAAAAACTAATTTGAAAAGATATATACAACCCTATGTTCATTGCAGCATTATTTACAACAGCCAAAATATAGAAGTAACCTAAGTGTCCATGGATAGATGAATGGATAAAGAAGATGTGGTACATATATACAATGGTATACTACTTAGTTATAAAAAAGAATGAAATTTTATCATTTACAACAACATTGATGGACCTAGAGGGTATTATGCTAAGTAAAATAATTCATACTGAGAAAGACAAATACCATATGATTTCACTTACATGTGGAATCTAAAAACAAAATAAATAAACAAACAAAACAGAAATAAATTCATAGATACAGAGAACAAATTGATGGTTTCCAGATGGGGGGAGTTGAGGGGTGGGTGAAAAAGATGAAAGGGATTAAAAAGTCAAATTGACAGTTATAAAAATAGTCACAGGGATGTAAAGTACAGCTTAGGGAATATAGTCAATAATATTGTAATATTTATGTATGGTGTCAGATGGATACTAAACTTATAGGGGTGATCACTTCGCAAGTTATATAAATGTCTAAGCACTATGTTGTACACCTGAAACTAATATAGTATTGTATGTCAACTGTAATTAAAAAATAAAATTTTGAAAGGCCAAAAAAAGGTACAAATTTCCAGTTATAAAATAAATGTCATGGGGAGGTAATGAACAGCATGGTTACTGAGGTTAATAATACTGTATTGCATATTTGAACACTGCTAGGAGAGTAAATCTTAAAAGTTCTCCACAACAAGAAAAGCATTTGTAACACTGTGTGGTGATGGATGTTAGCTAGACTTACTGTGATGATCATTTTGCAATGTGTACATATATTGCATCATTACACTGTATACCTGAAAGTAACATAGTGCCATATATATCAATTATACCTCAATAAAATTTTTATGAGATAATAACATTTGCAATAATTTTTGGGAGAGTCATCTACTCGCAGCAGGGGATGATTGAAAATAATACTTAAAAGACAAGTAGGAATGGGCAATGAAGCCACTTCCTGGTTTCTCCTAATAAGCTTTTATACTTTTAATTGAAATAAGTTCAGAGGTTATTAGATACTTATGCATTCATAGGTACATGCAAGGGAAAAGCATCCAAATAACTTATTGGTTATTTGTAGTTTGGGATCATTAACACTTCTATTAAAAAAATTAAAGTTCTGGCCAGTGTGGCTCAGTTGGTTGAAGCATCATCCCATGCATCAAAAGGTGGCAGGTTCAATCCCAGGTTAGGGCATTTTGGGGAGGTTTCCAACTGATTTTCTTTCTTTCTCTCTCTCTCTCTCTCTTCCCCCCCTTCTCTAAAAATCCATTAAAAAAATAAAGAGGGAACTTTACCAGTGTTTTCTCAAAATGAAGAATAAGAAGACAATAAATATATACCTGGGAAATATTTAAAAGAAAAGAAAACCTCTGCATTTTGGAGTGAAATATTATCTGATGTAGAATACACACAATAATTTCTCTACTATAAACTCCTTTTTCAAAACCAGAGTTCATCACAGAAACATGAGCTTAAAAAATTAATCATCAGGCCATGAATTGTACTGCCATAAAAGAAAGCCATTCTTTCCTGCATATAAACAACATTACTACAATACATACAGATGCATGCCTCAGTACCTTGGTGCAATGGTGTATTTACTTGTATAAATATTTAAAGTCAGACCTTTGAATTTATAATGAAGTAGCACAGCTCTTTAAAAAACAAGGCACTATTAAATTTAGATGCATGACAAATAGAATTCTGTTCAGAATACTAATTGCTGCTGTTGATACTCTAAAACTAAAAAAAAGTAATGATATTCAGATTTCATCTTAATAAGCCTAATACATGTGCAGAAAACTTAATAAGTCTTGATGAAGCCTTATTGCTAAAATTGTGTATTTATCAGCCAGGCTTTGCAACTGAGGCACAAGCAAGCTTCCTTTCTGGTACTTTCCCCCTTGCTCTTATTTTAATGACACACATTCAATTATCACAGGAAAGAAAAGAGTAAACTCAGAAACATCTGTAGTTTACCATATAATGACTGGGTGTTCCCCATGGAGACTGACCCTTTCACAGACGCAGGTGCTGAAAGGCTAGGTGATGGGGGATGCTCGCATGTGTAAATGTATAACATGATTATGAAGAATTCAATAGACACGGTTATTTTCCACCTTAGTTTGTGTTAACGTTAAGTTTGCACATTATAATTATGTGCTCTTATAATTACTCTCCTGCTCCAGCATGTGGTAGTCAAATATACATGCTCTTAGTGGAGTTCACATATCACCAACCTAGAATGTACTGATTATATAACAAGGTTGAATTCTGTGTTTGCAACTCTTAGGCAACCATAACTTTACCTGTGATTGGAACATTTGCTGCCATGCTTTCTTCCTTGCTCTCATCTCTGCAGGTGCTTGAAACTTCTAAAAATCAAACACATGACAATAAAAATGTATGTCAGGGTTATATTTATGGACTAGGCCTTTGTTTGATTTTTTTTACAACTACCATTCCTATTATTTTCACTGTCTCCCCACCTCCTTTTTTTTTAATCCTCCAGTTTATTTCTTGCCTGGAATAGTACTGTTCCTTCTAAAAGGAAAACTTTTCTAAAACTAAGGTATCTCTATGTTGTTTTCATGAAAAAATTATTTAGCCTGACATCTATCAAATTTGAAGGGGGCTTAAAACAGTGAGTCTTAAATTCTGTGCATGTATATCAACTTCTGAATACATCCTGAGTAACTCATTGCTGTATTGGAAATACCACTATAGTGGCTTACTGACATATTTTAATAGTAATGTTAAAATAGTCACAATTTCTGGATACTAAAATTTTAGAGGGCATAAATTCATTGATTCGTATTCATCAGTTTAGACTTTTATAATACTGTGTTATAAAGACAACCTTAAAAAGAATGTTTATAAATTATGAGTAAATTCTATTAAGTGATATCAAATACTTTACAGAACTTTATGGAATCATTTTAATGGAATCATCTTCATCTTTGTAGGATGATCAAAATTATCTACTGCCCAGTGATTAGTTTTGTTAAGATTTCATAACTTATAAAAACGTAATTTATTGGAAATTCAGTAACACTGCAGCCCTACAATTAGGTTTCCTATCCCTGTGAGACTAAACAAAATCATATATTTATTGAAAGGCGGTATGTAAAACAACCTATTATGCATATTAAAATCAGAGGTATTCTCTCGTCCCCTTTATTTTATAGGTACACCTTGAGAAAGAAGGTGTCACGTTGACTCTGAATGGGTTTTTGCTGTGGACCAACCCTTTAACAATAGTTACCTTGTTCCCAGGTAAGGACTCTGTTGAACCACGGAGCGTATTTTGCTTCCTTTATTTCACTTTTGTCATTCAGAATGGATGGCAAGCTGCAAGATGATTCATTACTGTGAATGGCCGACTTATCTTCACCCTCTTCTGTAAGGGCTCTTTTCAATAATGCTGTTGCCTACAGTGTTTGAAAGAAAGCACAAAGAAATAACAAACTGTAGCTATATTCCCCTTGTCTCAAAGACTCAATCTTCAAATACAATTTAGGTTAAGCTTTACTTAGGATTTAATTGCTTTCTGACATTTAACTGAAATTAAAATGTCTTCAAGATAGAATAACATCTGATTATTTTCCAGCAGAATTTAATTCTTTGTAATAACTTACATTAGAAATAATACTTTCTTTTGGAGGACTGAATCTTATGCAGAAGTGTTTTTCTACCTGTGAAATATGTGTATGAGATGCGACCGCCTCTGTTAATCTGGATTGGTTTATCCAAGATTTTCTCTTTCATTGCATGAGCCCTTCAGTGGTTTGAGAAAGAGATCTGGAAAAATGTGACCTCGTGGTATCCCCATTCCTCTACAGATAAATGACCCCCGAACCTCCCCCAAATGGGAAAATTGCGTAAAAACTTGGTGGCTGAGGAGGAGTCACTAAGCAAAAAAAGAACTGTTCTAAATGATAATCTTCAATCAAGAATAAAGTTGCTCTGTTGCTAAGTCTGCTGGGGAGCCTGGGAAACTTAACCACTATACTGTTTTACTGTTTTCAAAGGGCACTGAACTGTCTTATCACATCACCTCATGTACTGGGCAAGGAGGTGGGCACAGATTTTATCACAGCCAAATTAAGAGGTAGAGAAAAAGTGGCAATTAACAGGATAGGTTAATATCTCTTAATTCGCAGGTCAGCACTCTTAAAAATATGCTGGTAACAAGAGTAAAACCACCAATGATAGCATCGTCCTGCTGCCAGAGTATGTTTCTTTCTCACTTCTTACTCAGAAGTGATTTGCCTAGGCGGTTGGGAGAGGGAACTTTGATGAGTTGCTCACTTTTCATTGGTATCTGACAATAGTAGTAAATACAGTGCAGTGTCCAACACAATCTGTGGGAAAGGGAGGTGAGATTCTACACATTAATATGAAGAATGGAGCTGGACCAAGCCTCACAGGTCATGTTAGTCCAAGGGTGAAGTAGTTACAACAGAATTTTCCAGTAAACAAGAGGGAAGATGATAATCTTTCCTTGTAATTAACATGAAAGAAGGCGAAAATGTCCTCACAGGGAGAATCACTGAGGCAGAACATGGAAGATCTGACCTTGTAAGTTTGGTTTTGAAAAACACAGCCACTGTCATCATCGGCCTTGATATTCCTGCAACATACTCCTGCCCTCTGCCCTCTGCCCTCCCCAGGACTGTATGGCTTCCTGGGCCCTTGGCCTATCCTAGAGGATGGATCAGCTGATTTCAGGGTATTTAAGAAGTTGTAGTCTCCTTGGCCAAAGGACTTAGTCTCAAGTTAGCCTTGGGATTCCTCTACATGTATAAAGTGATCCCTGGATTTTACTCCAGTTGTGACAAGTCTCTGTTGGGGTGATCTGCACAGTATCCCTGTATCTGCAGACTGGGGTTCAGTAGAGTGTCCTTCCCTTGAAGCTCAGGGCTGGCTCCCATAGAGCCCCAATTTCAGCTGCCTACAAGAACCATTGCTCTGCACCTGCTTCTAGAATCTTCCAGAAAAAAGAGGTGAAGAGTAGTACCAGGTCTTTGACTGCCATATATACTATCCTGGCATGTCTCATTTCTAGATCCTGATCTAGGCTGTCCCCAAGGAGACTGAAGTTCCTACTCTGTGTGTCCAATAATCCTGGGTATATGAAAAGCATTTTAGAATATGAACAAAAAGAACTGACCAAAATTCTGTAGTTATAAAGCTATAATTTTTTCTTTCTGATATTTCAAATAATTCAATCTTTCCGAGAGCACTTCAAATATGTATTTCTCCCTCATATTACCTTACGCAACAACTGTAACTAATAATTTCTTGGCATGAGTTCAAGATAGCCACTGTCTTAACACACATCTATACTAATAAAAGCCTATGTGGTCGTTACGCCCTCACACTATGATGCCCTCATGCCGTAACAATCCATCACTAGAAGGCTGCGTGCACAGCAGGCGCAGGCGGGTGGGTGGGGACTTGACGCAGTGTGCGCGGCGTGGAGGCGGGTCCCGGCGGCTCAGTGCAGCGCAGAGGTGGGACCCCTGGCTCTGGCCTACCTCTTTGGGGCAATCCATTGAGGAGCCCTGGATGGGTGGGCAGGGCCTATCTCTTTGGGGAGATCTAAGTGAGCAACTCATTGAAATTTCTTCTCCCAAGTGCCTGTGAGAGGGCACAGGCCAGGCTGGGGAATCCCCCACCCCCTGAGTGCAAGAATTTCATGCACCAGGCCTCTAGTTTTAAAAATAAAATTGATAGAGGACTGCTGAAGCTTTCCACATTTTCTATTGAAGAATTTGTAGACAATGAAAACTTTTGGTTTGTCAATGACTCATATAACTTCCCACTAGTCTCTTCTTTATGATACACAATATATCTCACTGTTTTGCATATCCCCTTCATATTAGACCCCCTTTGCTTTAGCTGAGCTGGGCTTCAAAAGAACACAGAATAAAATGCTTTAATAATACTGAAAACATCCTTCTAGTAACTCCTTGTATGCTTGATCAGAGTAACACCACAGCCAATAGTGCCCTATTTTTTTTTAACCATGGTGGTAAATAAAGTGAAGTCATAAAGTGGTGAGCATACTGCAGGTTTTCATTTACTTTGTATATTTTATCTCATTTATTTTCATTACGTACTATACATATTTCTAGGATTTGTATTATTTTTTTCATAGAGAAATTTATAAAAGGACTCACCTTATAAGATAATTCTATAATTTCTCAAAGATGAGAATTTTATATCTATAAGAATTTTGATGAGTTATCAAATTACAACATGAGAATGGTTGATTTGACTCTACTGGCCATGGAGCCAACAAAGAGATCAGCAGATCTCCCCAATGGGTTATCATCCATCATAAAGAAATCTACAATATAAGTCCCTAAGGAGCAGGGAATAATGATAAGCAAGGACAGAAACAAAAATCAAATTCAAACAAGGAATGGTCTGCGGTTTGTAGTTCAAAACAAATTCTATAGAGTCAGGAAAAACATCTTAATTATTTGCAGATCTTTTTGAAAGACATATTTCTAAGGAAGCCCCCAAAGTGAATGATTTTTCAGTCTGAGACTGGAAACACTAACCCATACAGTACCAGAACAAAAGTCCAGGAAAGAGTGAACAAGCTGCTCTACACATCTCACACGGGGTTTGAAAGCATTCACAAACTGAAGTTCCCTATCTGAAAAATGTCACCAGACAACAATGTTACCATGGGCCTTCTGATAGTGCTTATGAATGGATTATGCATGGGTTGTTTTTTAAAATCCTCATTTGAGGACATGTTCTTATTGATTTGAGAGAGAGAGGAAGAGAGAGAGAGGAAGTGAGAGAAACATGGATGCGAGAGAGAAATATTAATCGGTTGCCTCCCTTAAGCATCTGACTAGGGATTAAATCTGAAAACTGGGTATGTGTCCTAACTGGGGATCGAACCTGCCACCTTCTGAAGGACAAGATGATACTTCAACCAAGACACACTGGCCAGGGCTGCATGGGTTTTAACTTATCTGTTAACTCATAAAAACTGTTTGATTTCATACATTTGGAAGCCAGGAGCAAAGACTGGAGACTGTCTCACTGTTCTCAGCAGTCTGAAGCCTAAGTCAATACCAATCAACTAGTTCCTCACTTTTCTGCCTTCCCAGAAGCCAGCAGAAAGGACTCAGAAATTCAATTAAGAGGCACATATTTGCAAAATGACTGATAGTGATAGTTCCATATTTCAGATCTTACAAAAGATAAAAGTGTCCTATTAATTACACTGAACAGGATACCTAGAATTATTGGCTCAATTCTACTAGAAATTTTCTCCAAGTTCAATTTAAATATGAATCCTGCTAGGTCTGGAATTCCGAGAGTCATCTAGGCTAACTCTTAATTTATATGTAGAAACTTATCAATTGTGATACTCAAATGCATAAATAGATAAATGAAGATATTAATGAAAAAGACTTTGTGTCCAAAACACCATTAAGAAAAATAAATGGTGAATATAAATAAAACTGCTCAAATATTACAACGAATTGTACAAATGTATATAAAAAGAGTTCCTACAAGTTAATAAGAAAAGATATTACTAACCTAATAGAAAAATGAGCAAAGAACATGAACCGGCAAATTATAAAAGAAGAAATACAAATGGCTAACAAATAGGCAGGGGAAAATTTGACCTCAATTGTAATTAAAGGTCAGATGAACAACAACAAAAATTGGATGTCATTTGTACTTTTCAATTTGATGCTAAAAAATGTCGATAGTATCCAGTTCCATAAAGAGTTCAAAGAAATGATATTTTCATCCATTCTTGGTAACTCTGATGACTCTTCCAGAGTAAGCAGTGCATAGCAAATACCTAAGAGATTCACATAACCTTTAACCTAAAAACTTTACATATAAGAATTCATTCTAAGGAAGTGGGATGGGTATTTGTAAAAACTGAATTGCTCATGTTTTTTGAAACCTTTATCTAGAGAAAAAATTAAAAAACAACTTAAATCAGCGGTTCTCAACCTGTGGGTCATGACCATTGGAAAACACATCTAGCATATCAGATATTTACATTACGATTCATAACAGTAGCAAAATTACAGTTATGAAGTAGCAACGAAAATAATTTTATGGTTGGGGGTCACCACAAAATGAGGAACTGTATTAAAGGGTCGAGGCATTAGGAAGGTTGAGAACCATTGAAAATGCTCAACAACAGGAGTCTAGTCAGAGAGACTGGAATATTCATAAAAGGGTGTTTGGACAGCCATGGGAAATTATGTAGAACATGTGATGATTAGAAAAGAAGTTCATTTGTGACAAGTGGGAAAAAAGAAGCTATGTACACAAACAATGTAACCCATGTCAATACATTAACTATCAAAAACCATACACCTCAATGTCAAAAGGTTAAATATGGAGAGTCAGATAACAGCAATTTTCTTTTCTTCTT